AAAGCTTAAAAGATTAAGAGGCATGCAAGCCAGCTGAATGGCAGAAGTGGGATAAAACAGATTACAGAAGTCCCAGTTGCTTCATTAAAAAACATTCTACCAGGTTATTAAACTCTGTTTAGTGTCCTGGTCAACATGCCTAACACAGGCATAACTGACATAACCCATGGCAGTCGATAATTCCTAGAGGCACCTCAGCTGGCACAAGGGTTCTGTGACCTGGACAAAGGAGAACTTGCTGAATTTAGTGTAATTCCTGAGGTAAAAGAATCCCACTGGAAAAGAAGGAGGCAGGTCAGACAGTCACAGTCATCCTTTTCTGCTCCAGTATGTTGAGGAATGATGCCTTGCCACACACCAGACCCCTTGACAGAACCAGTAACTGGAAAAGCCGTGGCACAAGCCAGCACTTCTGGTCCCCTGCTCCATCCAGAGAAGCCTGTCTATTTCTGGGGAAAGGTAAAATAGAGAAACTTGGACTCAACCGAAAAACAGAGCAGTTAAATACTAATTAACAAATCAAGCCATGCACATTCAAAATTACATGGTAATGCTGGAGTGACTTGCATAGTTATACTGCTCTCACATAAGAAGTTCTCAGCCTCCTCTGCAACACTGCAAAACACGGTGGGTCAGTGCTGGGAGGACAGGATGGCGAGGAGAGAGCAGCAGAGCTGTGAAAACAAGATGAATCTGGATGGGGGAATGTCCAAAACTGAACAAACTCTGCTTGTGCTGGCCTGAATGAGAGCTGAATTAAGCAAGGGCTGCTTCCGAGAATGCCGCGTCCTTGCCGCCAAGGACGGCGAGAGGGCAGGGGAAGGAGGGGAGAGCTTGAGAAGCACAAACATGAGCGTGAGAGAAGACAGGACATCACGACCAAGGCCTGGAGGGGACCCCAGGCTAAGGTCAAGCTCCCCATACACAGCTGGCTTGAAAGCATGGAAAAAGCCCGATGCAATCCATCACAATGCAGACAGCAGCCTCCTCGCTGCTATCCAGCCTGTGTTCCTGTGAATGTTGCTGGATTACTGACTGAAGGGCTGCATCTGCTGCCATTTCATTCTCCCTCAGTGTTCCCTGACCTCCTCGTTCCCCCTTTGCCAGGAGGAAGCAAGGCAGACACAGCAGCTAAAAAACAACAGCTGGGTTATGTGCCTTAGCAGTGGCCTACCTGCAAGAAGTGCTGGTGTCCAAGGTGTAGGGACATTAAAGGAAACAGCTGCAGACACATCCAACCCGCACTGCACAGGCAAGTGGGGAGTGAGAAGAGCTCCTAACATATTTCCATATACTGAAACCATCTACAGCTTAGAAGCTGCATCTACTGCCTGGATGAAATAAGAGAAATCCTCCTCTGGGTGTGAGTGCTATGCAGAATATTTCAACAGGCTGCAAGAAGAAAGCAGGAGGAGCTTCTAAGGCTCAATGCCACAGGCACATGGGCAGCATTCACTATCCACAGGGAAAACTTGAGCTCTCTCTCCAAACATGCTTTGGTCAAACACCTCAATACACACCAGACGTGAAGTTCTGCTTCTGCAGAGGCCCAGTTTAAGCTATATTTCAAAGCTGTGATTTTCAGAGTGTGGATGCTAGTTTAGAAAACGCAGTCTTTAGGGGATGGTTCTTGTCTGGCCACCAAACACATGGGCAGCCTGCATCCACTGCTTTTTTAATTCCTCCAATCCAAAATCTCAGGAGGAGATGAAAACAGTGGAAAATACAATTTCCCTGGCTGCAGAGCAGACTCCTACAACTCTAGAGGTGCCTCCCTGGCATGGCTAACATTAGCCAGGAGAAGGAGACATAGAGCAGAGGAGTGCAGAGAGGAGAAGGGATCAAAACCACTGCAAGAAAGCTGGATGCTCAGAAAGCAGCTATGGGTGGATGCATAACCCAAGAGAGGAATCTGGTAAAAGATTTCTCTCAGGCCTCAAGAGCTGGGGAAGGAGTGACAAGAAGGAACACAACACCATCACACTGGCAAGAGCAACCACTAAATGTTAGGAGATGTAGTTAAGTCACTTGCTTAGTTCCAGACAGGAACAGCCCTAGGGATGAGGGCAGGGATCAGGACAGAGGCATTCTGTGTGGTGCCCTGTGGAAGGAAGCAGGAGTGAGGAGAAGAGCTCATATGGCTCAAGGAGCTGAATGCTCCCAAGGAGAGCTGGGCTGTGGGGAGACTGACATGGCCACTCAAACCAAGGCTTTCCAACAAGGAAAGCCCTGTGGAGCAGCGGGAGCAGCACCAGGAGCCAGGACCCACGAGCATGCCACAGAATGCTATGCACCAGGGGAAAGAGCAGGCCTGTGCCAGCTCTAATTGGCCCCTAAAAAGACAAGTTATTCTTTTTTATTTAATCTCTCTGTGCTTTGTTTCCCCATCTTTAAAGCATCCCTTCATCTCACAGAGGTTTGGGGAAGATTAACTAACTGCTCATCAACTGCTCAGATACAATAGCACCGAGATCGGCACAAGTTCAAGAGGAAATTAATAATTCTGTTGCTGGAACAGGGCTTGAATAGAGCCTGGTAAATAAGGCAGAAGGGCACAGAGTGAACAATAAGAGAAAACAAAATTCTGAATATCTGCTCATTAAGTGAGCAAAGTCCATTCTGTGGGCAGAGGGAGGCAGGGACCCCGTGGAGAACCTGGCAAGAGACTCCGTAATTAAAGCCTGGATAATAATGCACGCACACTGGGGGGGCAAATTAGGGGTGCACAGGGAACCCCCACACTGCTATTTTCTAACTTTGCCATGTTTGACTTTCAACCTTCACAATGCTCTTTCAATGCCTTTTTTAGGTGTGCAGTGTGGCACAGAGGCGTGGGCACGCTTCCCTTCTCCTGTTCCAATAAGCAGTGGGATGCTTATTCTGATTTATCCTGAAAAGTGTGCTCATACAGCCAGTAAAGGCTTGGAAGAATAAACAACTGGGGCTGGTGCTCAAGCAAATGCATACCAGCTTTTGGGGGCTGTGCATTTACTTCTTTTTCTAAACATGGTGCACATAACCAAACCCAGTCTTCTCTTAGGCCAAAGAAGAATACATCCAACACAGCACATACAAGCTACAACCTAATTTAAAAATAAAATATATCCTGGAGAGGGCTGGACAGTATTTTACAATTCAACTGTTTGCCAGTCAAAAAAAAAAGAAAAAAAAAAAAAAGAAAGCTTTCAGAAACACAGAAAAAGGCCCCTGCAGGTCTGACCTCTGGGATTCCCAGCCCACAGGCAATACATCTGAGAATCTGAGGGCTCCAGCTGCTCAGTCCACAAGTCCGAGCTCAAAGAAAAGATCCCGGAGCACAGCACGCAACTTTCACCAACAGCCAGCCCCCAAGCTCACCTGGCAACTCACTGCTGAGATCCAGGTCCCCAGCAGAACAGAAATCTCACCAACAACCAAATTTACCACCTATGTTAGTGCCTCTGTAGAGACATTGTTGACAATAAAAGCAAATTCCTACTCATACTAACACAAAACAAATGATGAATCACACCACTAAGAGGGAATGACTTTTTGGTGAAAGGCTGGGAGTGGGAAACAATGAAAAGCATAAATTGATCCAGAGTTTTATCTAAAACATTGCAATTATTGACACTGAAATTTCTTTGCTCGCTAAAATCACAGTTCCACATGGTGACGTCAATCATTCCAGTGCTCACCCACCCTCTGAGGGTTAGACTGCAGCAAAGAGAGGTTATGTGACTTGACAAAACCACACACAAATCATCAGCAGAGTCTCAAGGAAAACAAAGAGGGGCAAAGCAGTCAAAATCTCAACACTTGGCTTGAAAGAAACTCACAGACTATGCTTAGGATGACTTGAACTTCTGAAAGCGACCATGACTGAAAGGCTGGAGACGTTTTACAAGAGCATTTTGGCTGTGATTTATCCTTCTGAAACAATGATCTTCCACCTGTAAAAGGCCTCTCAAGAAGACTGGCATTCTCTGTCAAGCCCCAAATTCTAGTAGGCCTTTTCCAAAGGTGGTTTGTAGCCATTTTTTAGCAGGTTTGAGGCAGGCAATCAGTACTGTGGAGAGTAAAAATCAGAACTGGCTCCTCTGCCATCATTAACTGCTAGACGGTTAATCACCTTCATTTGCATGAAAAAAGCAGCCTGAGAAGGAAGTCCTGTTGATGACAGGAGAACACCTCTGGGGAACAGAGCCTCATGGCCTGGGAAGGCTTTGGTCATTAAAAATTTACCTCAATTAACTGGGTTTTCACAGTAAGAGATACAGCAGCACCACTGACACACTGAGCATCTGTTGCATGCAAATCAGGACACGTGGGTGGTTATAAAGAACTGCTGTGACCTTAACCTGAGGCCTCCTCACGCTGAAAATGCTCACCTTCAGCCTGCAGAAGTTCACTGCTAATGAAAACAGAACTGCATCATAAGCAAAACCCCATCTCTCTGCATGTTTTCCCAGACTGACCAAGGTCTTCTCAGTTCTTCTTCCATTACCCTATGCTGGTAACATGACCCTGCTTCTCCTCTTTATGAGTGAGTCTGCACAGTAACACGCCAAAGAACATTCATGAGATTGTAAAAATACTTGGCACGCTGGCAAGTGCCAAGGTAAATGCAGATTCAGGTATTTAATTATACAGTCAATCACGTCTGCAATTCAGACAGCAGCTCAGATCTCACAACTTAATTGCTTTAATTTCAGATGAATAGCTTGTGTTGTCACAAGCGGTTTGACACGCTGGAGAACACTCACAAACTACACGATGAGCAAACAACCAACATTTATTCCTCTGCCCACCCACACACCTGGGCAGCTCAAAATGCCTGAGCTGAACTTTGCTGCTCTGTTTTTCATTTCAAAAATGCGGGAGGAACAGCACAGGGCCCTATTAAAAACAGCAAAGCCAGAGAAATTTGTGGCAAGGGGGTGAACCTGACATCTGATTTTGCAGTACAGCCAAGGCAGAGGGTGAAGCAAGAACTGTAAGGAATCATTAAATGCTCTTACCTGTCCTGCAAAAAGCCCACACACACCAATAATACAGAGGATGTTGAATACAGCCGAGCCCACGATGGTTCCAACGCCTACATCTCCTTTTGTGATAAAAACACCTGAAAAACAAGTTCAAGAGAAGCTGTGTAAATGGGAAAGAGCTGACTCTTTTCACATAAATTTGCAGACCTCACACCCTGTTAATGAATCTAAAGGCAGGTACTAGGCAAACTGCAGAGAGTTGCTTTCTGAGGGGACCTAGATAGACTGCGTGATGGAAACCAAGTACTTCAGGCACATCCAAGTTATTAACTTCCTGGTATTGTGACTCAACTACACACCACAAAACACTGCAAGCTCATGGCAGCAGCTGGTGGGACACAAATCCACAGGACACTGTCTTCCATAAGATATGCTCTGAACAGTACTCTGCTCCTTCCCATATCCCCATCCCAACTGGCTTCAGTAGGGATGAAGCTTCAGTAGAAGCTGGAGATGATTCAGAGCTGTCTGGCCACAGCTACTCACAAGCCAAGTGATGCCTCTCAGGATGAGTTATGGGGCTATGCTACAAGCTTTTTTCAGAGCTCTTCTGTCAAATTTGGTTAAAACTGGCCAATGAGGTTAATGGTGAGGGAGATGAACTGACAGACACATGCATCACAGTGCTGCACAGTCCTTTCCTTAGAAGCCAGCCTAAAAATAACACTCCATCTCCTGCTAGCTGTCAGTCTGTTTAAATTCACCACTTGCTTTTAAGGTTCCAACACTATTTATCTGGCCATACATAAACTGGCCAGTGCTGCTCACGTATTTTTTCCAACTTCATCCTTTTCTCAGGAACACAGAAGCACTCACCTGCCAAGTGACACACGGCACCTGGCAGGTTACACCACAGCAGGAAAATGATCCTGATGACCATCAGGGCTTCTCTAAGTCACCTGAAAAAATCTGATTTTATTTTCACCCTGGCACTGCACTACCCTTAACCAAAGGACAATCCCAACTTGGTCCAACTTAGGTTCCCAAATAACAAGGCTTTGCTTGTGCAATCAGACCTCTGCAGAGCACGCAGCTTTGCATGAATTAACTCGTGCTCTTCATCTGGCAGCTGTGATTGAAAGACAAGTGTCTCCTAGAGAAAGTATATGAGCTGAGACCTAATTCTGTTCAGTGATGGAGAGCCCCCCGCGCCCTCCCAGCTGCTGCCCTGACAATCCCCTGCCAACAGAGATGTGGGTGAGTCGGACTGCAGGAACACTTCACCCTCCTAACGTGGCTAGGTAGAACATCACTCTAACACTACCTGCAGTCCCCCTTCCCCCCCTGCTGTGGGGGCACCCAGAGTTTCCAGGGTTTTACACACTTAAGGACTGCTGAATCCCTTAATCACACTTCCCATAAGCAGAGAGCTGCTTTGGAAATGTGATGCTCTGACCAACTTGTTGCTGTAAGAAAGCATTTCAAATCCTCTTCTCCTCCCCACTTGGGCTTTTCCAGGGAAAAGCAGTGTTGGAAGACTGACTAGAGGGGAGGTGATGGCAAAGAACCTGCCACTGAGGACATGAACAGTGTGCCAGGGTACCAGAGAGGGAAATCTGGGGGAAATCCTTTCTCACTGTGCCCTGGAGCTGGCATGGCAGGTGGGGCAGGAAAGTGGACAAGGTAAAGCCTGGCTAATGTGCAGCTATGGTAAAGGGCCCACTGGTCCTGGCTTGGCAGGTCACACCCAGGTCACATGCTGTGAGATAAGGGTACTCCCAGAGTCACTTCACCTGGCGAGGACTCCCCACAGTCAGCGCCATGTGTGCCCAGGAAGGGGTATAGCAAACCTTGCAGGCACACAGCAATCGCATTTCAGCTCTGAAAACAGCCAGGGAAACATGCAGGTTTTGGGAAGCAGCAGCAGGCTCCTTACCTATGACAGATGTGAACAGCTCAGGAGCAGAGCTTCCTGCTGCCATGAAAGTTGCCCCAGCCACATCTTCACTGAGATGCAAGCGCTGCAGAGAAACACAGAGTCACTGATTACCACACTGAGCAGCTGAAGGAATTCCACTCCCAATGTTAAACTGCCTGCCAAGAGCAGGTGCCTGTAAAGTTTTGTGTAAACAAAGGTTAAGTGCAGGGGAAAAGCCACCACAGGCACTGGCTACTGAACTGAGCATCACCTGGCAGAGAAGGCAGGTTATGCCAGTGAGACTTTTAGAGAGGAGGAAAAGGTCACCACTCCAGCCAACAGGGAAGGCAGCTTCACCACTCATGGGTCTGTCTGCTCCACAACCCTATCAACACACACCTTATCCTCCCCACTTTCGCCTGTAAAGGGCAGGACTAGAGCTCAGGCTTGGTTCACCTCACCTCCACCTTCCCTGGTACAAGTTATGCCTTGCTTTACCCTCTCCTTACCCTCTTTCTGCTGGACTACATCACTTACCTCAGTTTACCCTTGCCTTACCCCCTTTCTCATAGACTACATCACTTACCTCCTGTTCTACCTCAGCAGTAGCTAGGGACTGTCTAAAACCAGGGGCTTCTGGAAGGGAAAGGACCCACTGCTCTACAAAAACTTCATCAGCATATGCTGCTTCCAAAGATTCCCTTGGTTAATTACACCCTCTATGTTGTCTGCACTCCCACTGTTCCATCTGCACCAGCTCCCATGGACCCAGCACCCACCTGCATCTGCTCAGCAGATGCCACAAGGCACCTTCCCCTGCTGAGGAGGAGCAACAACCAGCTCCTGCCATATGGCCACCATCCCAAGCTGTTACTACACCAATGCAGCAGCTGCCACTGCGGGAGCACAGGAAAGGCAGCCAGGAGCATGGGGAAGGCAGCTCAGAGTGGTGGGAAGTGTCCCTGGCAGAGCTGGCTTCTGAGGCAGCCCGCCCAGCCTGGCAGGACACAGGAAACCTCCCTCTGCCCCCATTCCCCTGCAGGGCTCCTCTGCTGTTTCATCCTTGCCCAAGGACCTTTGCAGAGACAGGAGAGCAGAAATCCTCATAGCTTTTTCTGAAGATTCCACAATGGGTATTCCTTGCCCCTAAGGGAGGGTGTAACTCTATCCACTGCCCAGAGGTAACAACCCTTTGTACATAAGTTATGGGGACAAGGGAAAAGGACAGGATGTGCCCTCACCAGGAGTGCCTTTGAAGCAGAAGACTACAGCATTGCTGGAGTGCTATAAAGCTTGTGGAACCTGATAAAATACAGATTCATGGAAAACTATTTTAAACAGGATTAAAACTATGGTGAAAGAAGTTCACAGGACCAGAAGCAGATCCCCAAAGGCCAGGCTCTCCTGCAGGATGCTCTATGAAACTATGGAGACATCCATCCTACAATAGCTGCTGGAACTCACAGTGCCTCTTGAAAGCAAAGCCACCAGCCAGGGAAACCAGCTGTGCTACAGCAGGAGCCCTTGAGGACAGTTTCTAGAGAATTCACTGAAATGCACAAGATGATTAAGCTGATACAACAGAGCAGATAACAGCACTCTGTGTAGACAGCAAAAATGTATTTGCAGACAAATGTTTGCCACTGACATAGTGTAAACTATCAGGGGTGAGGCAGCCAGGCAAGTGCAAGCAGAATCTGCTTTAGAAAACAAAATAAAATCAGGGGTTTTTTGTAAGTCTGAACTAACACACAAAGTCTACCACAGCAAGTGTTCTGGAGCAAATTCCCATGTCAACACGCATTTGGGAGCACAAATGGCTTGTTGGTTCAACTCAATAACTGCTTCCCATACTAGAAGAAGCTAAGCCAGAAAAAGGACATTTGTTTTAGAATTAGAGCATCTAAACAGTGAGAAGATGTAGAACAACTACTGGCAGATCTTCAAGGCCAAAAAGGCCTTCAGGCAGGAGGCCTGAATTCTCGGTGCATAAAACACATAAGAATATTTGAATGTCTCCAAACATCACCTATGGGGTGAGAAAAGACATTTCTGGGAGAGAATCAAGCAGGAGCAATAGAACAGTAAGAGTCTGATCCATTTATGTGACCCATTTTGTTGATAATCCCTAATGCCAGCACCTGGACAGCAACTTCTCAATGCAAGTACTCCAAATCTGGTGTTCAGTTGCTAAGCTTTCTCTTCTACACGCAGTAGAATAAAAATTGTTATTGTCATCTTATTTGTGGTGCTGGATAACAGAAAGATTCAGAACAACTAAGACACACGAGGAATTGTTGTGTACCATTGAGAAGACAACAAATAACCAAAACAGCAAAGATCTAAGCAGGCAAAAGCTGCCTTCTAGGGCCCAGGGTGTGCAAATACTGCAGTAAATCACACAGAGAGGGTGTTTGCTTTTGAGACATCAGATGTCTGCACAAACTCAAGCACAGCTGAGAATTTGTCAGAACAAATGTCTGGCATGTGTTAGACCAATTGTAGGGCTGGCCTGACACTTGTTAGACCAACTTCTGGGAGAAGGTGGAGACACACAGACCCTGCATGTGCAGAGAGTTAGTGACCATGAAAGCCCCTTGTTTGTGACAATGAAGTTTACCACCAGTGAAGTTACAAACTGGTAACAACCCACGCAGTGTTTCCTACTGTCATCTGTAAACACAGTCAAGGATCAACTTTCCTACTGAGCAGAGCAGGAAACAGAGGCACAGGGAAGCGATGGAGCTTGTCCATGGCAGAACTGCAACAGGAGCCAGTGCTCCACGGACCCAGGTCAGGCCTCTGGGCCATGACTGGGGCTCAACCCAAACACACTCATGGGAGGTAACTAATGAGTGTGCAGAGAAAAGAAATAACAATCTCCCTCCTTCTGTCTCCCTGTGTCCCTCTGGATGGCTGGCTTGCCCTTGGGCATATTGACAGCACCCCAAAATACAAGCCTGTCCTGGACACTGCTCACTCAGCTCAGGTTTTGCTCATCCACAGACACCTGAGCCAGCTTCTAGAGCCACATTTTCCACTGAGGTTCACTTGCCTGGGAAAGGGGAGGTTGAAGAACTCGGTGTGTTTACATCCCCCAGCATCTCCTATCCCCATGTCCACACCAATATTCCCTCTCCTGAACCTTGCAATGGGGTTCCCCAGATTCAGCCCCAGCGGGTGCAGCAACTTTGCAGGACAGAAGCTCCTTATATTGTTACCTTTCAGTTACCTCTATACTTAAGCCAAAAGTGGAATTGCCTTATGTTGTTACCTTTCAGTTACCTCTATACTTAAGCACCAAAAGTGGAATTCCCTGGGGGCTTTTTTTCTTTGATGATGCAAAAAAAGGCCCACACAGCAGGGTGCTGATCTTCAAATATCAGGTTAGTTTAGAGACAGCCTCCATCAGCACTGTCAGCACAAATGACTTGCCCTGTCAGCTTCCACCCCTCTCCCAGGGCCAGCACAGCCCACACCCTGATGGGTGACACTTGTTCCCAGGCACAGGGACAGGTGTCTTCTGCAAATGGCACAGACCTCTCACTGCCACGACCAACCATATTCTCCCCACACAGAGATTTCACTGCCTGGAACTGACGGCAGATATGGCTCGCAGCAACTTTGGGCACATGGTCTGTGTTCGCTCCGTGGCTGTCTGAGCTGATTTAGGCAAAAATGTACTCCTTGTCTTCTAAAATTTAGGCATCTCGACCTTACCAAAGAGAAACAGAATCCTTTGTAATTGCTGGAAGCATTCACAAGCTTCTTTACAGCTGACCTAGCTGTCCCTGCTGCTTTAAAACTTACACTCACACAACACAAGGTCTGACAGTCATGACTGTGAGGGCAGGGTACAAAATCCACGGTTTCTACTGGGGTAAATCACCAGAGGTTTTAATTTGTGCCAGCTAAGGCTAGGGCCTGGTGTTTCTGCAGAGACATCTGCAAAGACACACAAACAAAAGGAAACAGCAACCACCACAGTGTGAATGCCTGGAGCACCTGGAGAGCCTGTCCTGCGAGGAAGAACACAGGGGCTGAGTCAACGCGCACACGTCATGTTGAGCAACAAGACAAGCAGCACTGGCAACACTGCAGGACAACAGCAAACACACCATCACCACACCCCAAGGCTCTCCAGAAGCGCTGTGGAAGCAGCACAAGAGGAAGGAATGTCTGACACTTACTTCACAGATCTTTTCCAGCGAAGGGACGAAGAAGTCATCGCAGACGATTGCCAGCGCGTAGAACATGTACACAGCCTGCAACGGAGAAGAGAAAAGGCTGAGTCTGGAGACTGTCACACAGAACCGAACAGCAGCATCTCAGGTGTGATTTGGTACACACTTTTCAAGAAAATAAAATGCTTTTGCAAGAAGAATTCCTAGAGCTGTCTGGGATTTAATTGAACCACCGTGGAGTATTCATTCATCCAAAAGCTCTTATAAACTATCAAAAGCTGCCAATATTTTATCTTCACTATAAAGACTCCTTTTTTGTTTTTTGGGTTTTTTTAATTCTCTGGACATTGCTAAGCCACACTGAAGTATTTCTGCCTTCCTTTTTTTCCCCATTGGGCAGTGCAAGGCTTTTTTATCACTATGTTCCATGAAAATCTAAACCCTGGAGGAGTAAATTTTGAAATCTAGTGTCCTGAAAAAGGGAAAAGGAGCTTGTTTTTCTGGACTGAAGTGCCCTGCCATGTCACCTGGGTGCTAGTGGTAAATCTTGCTGAACTTCATACAGGAACAAATAAAATACAGGACTCTAAATGACACTGGGACAATCAGTTCTTCAATTTCATGCAAGAAGCATTTAATCTGGGTTTCTGTACTAGTAAACAGAATGTGCTGGGGCCTGATCTGTGCCCCGAGAGGCAAACAGCACAGTGTGGCTCACATCCACGCAGCAAAGCCCTGGAGGGCAACCTGGCCCATCCTGCCCACAGGGAAGGAGCTCCCTCCTCACCTCGACACAAAGACTGCCTCTGGATGGGAAAATGCCCATTGGCATAGGGGAAAACCAGGGGAAAAGCGTGCCAGGCACCAGCAGAGCACACCCCCCCAGCCAGGCTGAGTCTGCCTCCCAGCCCACTCTGGTTTTCTGGCATGGACACATCCGAGACCTGCTGCAAGGTTCAAAGACAACTCCACCTTTTTGGTGTCACCTGCCAAGGACTAGCACAGAGTTACTTCTAGAAGCAGCTCCAGTGATTAACTACAGCTGAGAGAAGCGGCCAATATTTGTAGAAACACAGTGCACTAATCCTAGGGAACCACAGTTCCAAGCACATCACCAGCAGATCCTCTGGCTTTGCTTGCTGTTGAAGTCCTGCAGAAGCTCAGGCAATGCAAGGAGACCAGAGTATTTTTTTCTGGAGAGAAAGCAGCAATAAAAATGGCCTCCAGGTTTTTTGTTCTTGTTTTGGTTTTCCAGGAACAGATATAAACCCCCCAGCCTCACCAAAAACACAGATTCTAATTTGCCAGAATCATAACTTTGCTAAAAAAAAGCCAGTACAGTAATTACTGTACATCTCAGCCATAAAAACTTTTCAAGCTCAAAAATAATTCAAGTGTATTTTTTTTCAGGATTAGAGATGGGAATTTCATCATAACAAATTATTTTGGTACAATCTTGACACAATAGGTGCTAGAATGTCACTTGGATAGTTTCTGTGCTTCTTTGTCCCTCATCACAAACATGAGTAAGTGTAACTTAGGCATTTTGAAAATCTTACACTGCAAAACAGCCCTGAGGACCTTACAAGAGTAAGCAAAATTCCAGGTCTCCAACTCTGTATGGTGCAGCAAAGAACCTGATCTTGCAAAGGGAGCACCAGCTGCTGACACAATACCAATTGTATGAACAGATATAAAGGAAGATAGGAACAAGGATCAGAAAGGGCTCCAGAGAGTGATGCAGCCAAATTCCATTGAAATACAACGGAGAGAGGGTGCCTAACTTCAGCCTAGATTTTTTATCTGCTAATCATATTAATCTGCAGTGAGTCACGCCCCCACTGTCCTGTCCAAACACACAGTAATGCCTCTCAAGAATGCTAATCTGTCCATCAGCATCATTCCCGTAAAGTGAGCGTGTCCTCTCCATTGACACGATCCACGCCCACGGAGCACAGGGCTCCACGTGCCTGCTGGGCTTCCTGCACCTCCCAAAGGCAGGCAAGGGAACAGGGGCCAAGGGGAGGCAGCATTCCCTGCCCCAGAGCCCAGGCAGCTCACCCCAGATGCCCCCACACGTGGCACACACGTGCTGCACTGCACTTTAGGTGTCCACAGATGATGCCACACTCCACAGCGCTCACCAGGGGCAAGGCACCCACCAGCTTTTCAGTTTAGACCATTCCTTGTCTGGATTTTTAGATGCACATTCAAATGATCCCAGGGGAGGGCTTGTGTCATTTCCAGTGCACACAAGACTGCCAAAGCATCTCCACGTCCCAGCACCACAGTGGAATCTCATGGTGTCCAGGTTTTTAGAGGGCACAACAACCTTCAAGGGTGACAAGGGAATTTTCTTTTGTCCGCCCATGCTTTCTGATTAGTAGGATCAGGTACAAGACAAAAGGCAAAAAGGGCACTGAAATGAGTACAGAATGGAAAAATAAATGGGAAGGAACTGTCCTCCCAGGCTCTTTTTCATCCCCCTCAGGAGTGGGGACTGGCCCCCTGCTGCAGATGCTGGAAGCACGAAGCCAAACCTGCTGCACTCCTCGGGATGGGCATGAGCACGGGGCTGACAGCACTGACTGAGCCCACATGAGCTGCACTCTCCAGCACTTACTTTAAACACCTCATTGCTGTCACAACTCTGGTTTTGGCTGTGAGTCTTCCCTAAGTTCATTCAAGTGGCTTGGGTGCAATAAAGTGTAAAGTGTCAGAATGGAAGGAGTATCTGGTTAAACCCCAGCCTTGTTCACAGACTAAATCACTGGAAGCTACCCACAGTCAGTGACCACATGAGGATAGTAACTGTGACTTCCTTGGAAGTTCTTCGGGCTTTTTGGTGGGGCTTGTTTGTTGGCTTTTTAAACAAACAAAACAAAGCAATGTTTAGAGTTTGGGCCAGCAGGAACACAAGCAGGAGGAGGCTTTTTTATGCAAGAGGGAGGAAGGCAGGAGCATCAGGGAGGCCAGTCTGCATGGCATGTCCTGTGAGGAGAGGGCTAAGAGCACAGCTGAGACACTCAGAATGATGAGGTGGTATCATCTTCCACCTAAGTCATCCTTAGGTGATTCCACCAAGGAATCACATGGATTTTTCCTTCAGCACATGGCTCCCTGTCTTCACAGGCACCACGGGAGCAGCAGCTCTGGAAAGGAGCAGGGCAGCACGGACTGAAGGCTGTTCCACCTGAAACTGCCACTGGGAATTAAGGAGGTGGTTGAGGGACACAGAATATGGCCTGTGCAATGGAGCAGAATACAACATGGAGGACTCAACACACAAAATAAGGCTTCACCTTCACTCAGTTGTTTTCAGCTCCAAGTGATGATATGGGAGTCTTTAGCCAGGCAATACACTTTAAGGAATACACTCACTCCTCCTCCCCCAAAGGACATTAAAAAATTAGGAAAATGCAATGGCCCTGCATAAAAGGATTATAAATGCCAGATTAAGTACCACATTACAATTCATTTTAAAATGATGATTCTAACTAACAAAGATGGAATCTCTGCATCAAAGGTGATTACATTTCTTATTCAAAATACCTGTTCCACTGTATAGGACACTGGTCATTTTGGTCACAGAAATGGTAATTTTTCATGTTTGTCCAGCAGTCCTTTGAGCTTCCCATGACAGTCTTCACACTCGAACTCAACTCGCTTCACTGAGCGAAAGAAGCTTTTCACAAGAGAGCACAATGCCATAGAGGCAGCAATCCCTACAGCCCTGCCTTCTTCCCAAGGGGCTGTGAAAGGCTCAGGTTGTTGCTGGCAGCATCAGCAGGGGTGCCTCTGCTGCCCCACAGACCCTGCCCTGGGGGGCAGGACTAGCAAGGGGCCACCCCAAAACCACGTTAACCAAGCACAGGGCTTTTCTCAACTCTGCATTACAAACTCACCTAAAACTCCATTGTGGGAGGGAAATTAAAAAACCCCAACCAAAGCAGGAAGCCACAGAGCCCGGACTGACTCCAGCCAGCAGCGTGGGTACCACGATGTGCCCAGCAGTGCTCCCACAGATGGCCAGGGCACTGGAGAAATCAACCCCCTAAGGAGACAGCCCTGTGCTGCAGAAATGAGATGTGTCTGGGCACTGACCCGATGCAGAAACAGAGACAGGACCCGTCCAGGGCGACCTACATTTCCCCAGCTCCCGGCAGGAGGGAGGCAGGTGCCTGTTAGAGCCCCCGTTCCCATGGCTACGGGAAGCAGCAGAGCCAGGAGCAGGAGGGATGGCTGAGCACAGACACTGCTCCTCACCCTGCCCAGCTCTGCCCAGGGACAGGCTCAGCTCTGACCACGCACAGGCTCCTCACGCTGGCAACCCAACATATCCCGGCTCTGCTCTCCAGATCTGCTGGAGGAGGCTGGGATAAGAGGAAGCAACACTGTGCTGTCAAAGACAGCGGGGTAATGCAGAGACCCAAACCCTCCATTCTCAGCTGCCAGCCAAAACCTTGGGGATTTCTCAGCAAAGCCATTTCCCTCCTGTCTCGAGGGAGCAACTGGTGCCAGTGCCCCTGAGCATGGCGGGGTTGAAGATCTGCACGGGGACATCAACTGGAACAAAATGAAAACCAGGAAAAGGTTAAGAGAGCACCTACACAGCCTTCCAGTACCCAAAGGGACTACAGGAGAGCTGGAGAGGGACTTTGACAAGGGCTTGGAGTGACAGGACAAGGGGGAATGGCTTCATGCTGACAGAGGGCAGGGTAGATTGGGTATTGGGAAGGAATTCTCCCCTGTGAGGGTGCTGAGGCCCTGGCACAGGTTGCCCAGAGAAGCTGTGGCTGCCCCTGGACCCCTGGAAGTGTCCAAGGCCAGGCTGGACGAAGCTTGGAGTAACCTGGAATAGTGGAAGGTGTCCCAGCCCTAGCAGGGGAGCTGGAACTGGATAATGTGTGAGGTTCCTTCCAATCCAACCCACTCTATGATTCTACAAACAGTCATGTTAAGATTGCATAAAGAAGCCCTTGGGTGCTGGGGAACTCCCAGGCTGCAGGAACAGCACCAGACTTAAAATCCAGACCCTGGCCCCTCCAAACTGAACATCCCAAGCCAGTGACTTAGTGACTCAGCAGCTCAGCCTCTTCTCAGAGGGGACATGGAAATTATGAATGGCAGTGAAGCAGTCACTGCTGAGCTCTGGAAAAGTATCCAGGAGGAATTAAACACCATGACTCCAACCTGTAACATGCCTTCAGTGGCCCACTTCTCCTTCAAACCAAAGTATTTTCAGTTCAGACCTAAAACTATTGCTGACCTGCCCAGATTTTCCTAGATTTTTCAAGTGTTCAGGGATTAACTTTCATCTTTGTGAAGCATCACATCATGTTTAGTAATTCATAAAGCTTCAGTGAGAAGATTTCCTGGGGTCTTTTTTTCACTTTTTATTAAACAATAGGGAGAAGATGCCCTGGGAAGCCTCCTGCTCTTCCCCAAGGTCCCAGTGATAGCTTTTGTCCCATTCCTCTGGCTTCTGGTAAACCAGCTTTGCCTTGATGTCTTTCAGAACTAAACATGAAAGTATGGGCAAAGGGGCAGAGGACAGAGAACAACATTTTTACTGAAATGAATAGAAACTGTTTAAGGGGAGGTCACTAACATGAGAAGCATGGTGATGACCTCTAATCACCACTGCATTGTCCTTCCTACCACTACAGAGTTCCTTTTACAGTCCTGTTCCTTCAAACCCATGAAGAAACCTCAGTGGAGGCAAAAAAACCTCTCTGTCTGTATCCTCTTTCCCCCACAAAAGTGCATTTCCTCTTCTCCTCTGATTTCATCACACGTTTGGTAACTGTATTTCTGGGAGGTAAAAACCAGAACTGGAGGTTCATTATCCCAGGACAAAGAGCACCCCTCCCAACCCAGACTAGAGGCAGGTTGATAAATGCTAACAGTTTTCTGTTTTCTCTGAGTACCATTTTTTTCTTTGACAAGAGAAGAACAAAGCTGGTTGTCTCCAGCTATCCCAGTACTAGAGAAGCTGAATCCAGCCAGGTCCTGCACCTCAGGGACCACAAGACAAAGAGTGGTCAGTAAATTCTCCTAAGTCCATGGAAGTGCTACAGAGAACAATGGAGCACCCATGGAACAATGGATCGAGGGAGCTGCCTTGCTGTTTGCTAGCAGGGAAGAAACTGAGTACATTTCTGCTGGGACAGTGGATGCTTTTCTACTTCTCATTAAAAACAGGTTTTTCTTTTTATTTTGAGCTAGACAGTTCAGTCCTCCAGACTCCATTTTGGGACATGTTAAAGGCACATTCAGCCCATTCAGAACTGAATTCATATATGAATTTTTAGGAGTATTCTTGTTGGTGATATAAAATCCAGCTCGGGTCCAGTGCTCAGTTTCCAAAACATTTCAAAGCTCAGTGTTCCCATGGAAACTTGAGATTCTTGAACTTGCCAGGCACGGTCAATAGCAACATTACTCAACAAATTTCTGCAGATATTTAGCCAAAATAAAATCCTTACACAAAGGTCTCACATTAAAATACAAAATACAATCTAATTTATATTCAAAAAGAAATCATGAATCACTCCTCACAGCTAATGGTGACTGCTCATTTAAGCTCACTAAAAATCGTTAAAAGCTTCTAAACATTCATTAGGAGCAGGTATTTTCTTGGCTGCTTAAGAATGCCTCTAATGTAACTCAAAGAAATGATAGAGCAAACTTTCCAATCCATGTAATGCCATGGATATTTCCATGTCAATTATTCTACCCCATAAACTTCAGAGTATTCCAGAGTTACTTCTTGCAGAAGAAGTGTCTTTTAGCTCTCTGACATTTAGTTTTCATCTTAAAGATGCCAAACTGTCCCATTTTCAGGATGACTTTTTCCTTCCTAAGGCCTGACATTCTAACGGTGTCTACAGAAAAAATGAAAATGGGAAGCGACTTTAAACCATCCTTCCATTATTGACTCCTTTTTATCAGAAGATCCCAAGAACAAAAAAAAAAAACATCACATCCCTGACTTCACAGTCCATAGAGGAGATGGAAATGCACCGAAGAGAAAACAACTTCAATCAGAGCTCTTGAGCACACGGGGCCCTGTCCACGCCAGCAGAAGAAAGGCAAAGTCACAACACTTACACAGAGGACGTGCAGGACAACTGCTCCATGTCTCCTGTCCTCGTTCGTGAAGATGTCATTGGGGAATTCATGGAGAGCTGCAAAAAGCGGGGAGGGGGGAAAGAAAGCTCAGATGTTTAATCAGCTCCTCACAGCCACCCCACGTGCTGGTCAGTAACACAGCGAGAGGCTGCCCAACCCAGCCTTGCCACAGGCTCTGCCTCACCTCCCTGTGGCTCAGCTTACCTTGTCCTCAGGCACCACCTTCCCCAAAAGTTCACCGTGCCATTTCCTTCTGTGGCCAGCACCACCCTGTGACCCACAGATGCCTCCCTGGAGCACAGCATGGCTCCTTCCTTCAGGGAAGCAGTCAGAGCTGTCCAGAGCAGGTGGATTAGCTCCTGGAGGGGCTGGCAGCTCTCTTCCCACTGCCCAGCAATCCACAGAACCGTGGAGAGGAGCACAGCAAGCACTTCACAGCCTTTGCTGCAAAGGCACTGTCGCAAGTCACTGAAAGACAAATTCCCTCCATTTGCTCAAATGCCTTATTACTGCTCTGGATGTTAATTGGATTATAAAGCTCTTAAGGACAGCCTGCCAATTAGGCTGCAGGAATGGCTTTGGGTTATAAATCAAAAAGCCAGTGTGAAGACGATGCTCTAGCATTCAAGTGCTTCTCAGTAATTCCAGATTTTGAAACAACAGCTTTCTTCTAATGGTCAGTTCTTCACATTCAGCCATCAGCTGAAAAAAATCAAACTGCCTTTCACATCTTTAGCAGGCTCTTTCTGCCTTTCACATCTTCAGCATTAATAAAGCTACAGCAATAGGGACTTAATTAGCAATTGCAAAGAAGATTAAATGGAAAAACAATCCAGCTCACACTCCTGGTTTTGCTGCCTCTGAAGCAATAACTGAGCAAAAGGCAGCTACATTTTAATTTTGTTCCTCATGCAAGCAACAGCTCTACCCAGGCACTGCACCAGAGGAGGAAACCACTCTTTTTTACATACAGTCTTTTACCCAAAGGCTCAGGTTATTACTGTTAATTGTATTCCTATGGATTGGAAAATTCTATAAGGAGTCCTAAAAAACTAGCAGGAGCTACTGGAGCAGTACAGACAGCATCTTTAAAATATCTGTAGCAGAGGAACACAGCAGTACCCTTCTCCTTCATGAGAACCAGAGATGCCTGTGACTTTTTATCACCAGTGAGAACTCACCCACCAGGAGCTGTGCCTACTTCCAGGAGCTGTGACCGCTTCCTTCCATGGCAGAACTAGTCCTGCCAGGCTGCCTTCCCCTCCCACCCCAGCACATCTGCTGTGTTAGAGCTGCCAAAGGTTGCCAGAAACAGGTGTGCAGCCCAAGGAAGTAGTCAGGGAGGTACCAGCACAAGGACAGGAGTGAGGAAAACCCCAACAAGCAAAACGAAACACTATGGAAGCTGAGAGACAATGAAGGCAAATCAGGTGGAAAGGATTTATCCTTCCCCAGCAAACATCATTATGTGAAAATGCAGTGTTTCCCTCAAAGCTTTAAGAAACATTCCTGACCATTCCCCGCTCCACAAGCGAAGGAAACACGGGGAGGTCTGCCTGCAGCAATATGCAAAATGGATTGCCAAAACACGTGTGTGTGCTTCCCCTCCTCCTGCAGCTGCCTCTGAGATTTTACATTCATTACAGACAGATGATAAAAATACAATCCCTTTATCAAGAGTCTCTGGGAGGTTCAAGGAGCCTGAAGTGCACCTAAGGTAAAGGCATATGGGGAAAAAATAGTACAAAAATAGCATAAGCTGTCTCTAGTGTCAGTGGCTGGGAATCCTGGCCCTCCTTCCTGTGCACAGCAGAAATGCCCAGTGCTCCCTCAGGTTCAGGTTCCCACCTCACACTGGCAGGAAATGCACCTGCTTTTCAGAGAAAATCCAAAATGTCCAGCAGCACATCCTCCCCAACATCGTCCAAACACAAACGCATTCAGTGGGTTACACTTGCAAACCTGCAATTATAAACTAATGTATGCAAATTTGAAATCTGCTGCATTTTTATTAGCTGCATCAGGTGCAGATGAGTACAGATAAGAGGAGAGCTTTGCAAAACACAGGAGCTCCTTTCTAAGAAGAAATAAAGGGTGCTGCTGGAACACCACTCCAACAACAGCTGCCCTATTTAGCAGATCATAAAAGCTCAGACAGTTTGTTATTGCACTAAAGAGTCCCCAGCCTTTGTCAGAAAATAGGTGCAGATTTTGCCAGGTTTGTTTTGATGGCACAGAAAAAAACCCAACCACCCTGCCAATGAAGCTAAACTCAAAGAATAAAAGACTTCTGCCCAATAATCCGCTCTGGCCCTGCAGACTTGGCAGGTATCAGCCTGGAGCAGCAGAAGGGCAGGATCTTCACAGGGCTTAGCACCTCCCCAGTTACCTCCTGCATTGTGGGCATTAGGCACAACTCCCAGCACATTCCCAGTGCATTTCCCAGGGAGTTCCAGCCCTTGGACATTACACAGCTCAGTCTCAGTTTTCAATTCCTGAGGGTGACATTCCCAGAAAACCCGAGGGCTGAAGCCTGCAGCTCAACACCACACTCCTTCCAGGGGTGCAGTTCTACCTTGCACTGGGGCAACTTGTAGAACTAAGAATGAACATAAGGATTATTCACATCTGGAAGTACATGGAATTACATGGCCATTAGCAAGGTATGGATTGGACTTAGAAAGGGAGCTAAATATTACAGGAAGAGATGAGCATTAGGTGTGAGAAGATGTGCTCTTTTGCACTTGACTCCAGGTGTTCTGACAGGCAGTGGCTGCTGTGCAGCACAGGGAGCCCACACCTTTTGGAGACGAGTTAAACAGGATTAAAGACAAGATGGTGTCTTTTGGAGACACCATCAAAAGGGTACGGCCAGATTCAGAGGAAAAGTCTGGCTCTACACCCGCCAAGAGAAAATTATTTTAGTCATAATACAATGAGCTGGAATTAATTCTTGTCCTGTTACTCTCAATTAGTGTGCAATTCTGTAAAACTGGAACCCTATTCAGCCCTGGCCACAGGTGATTTACAGAAGGTTCTGCATGGGCTGGCACAGCACAAACCTGTCTCTGCCCAGGCCAGGTGTGCAGGGAAGGTGCTGCTGTACCACTCCTCGGGGGTGGCACTTTTCACAACCCCCTTCCCAGCTCCTCCTTTTCCTCTCACGTTGAATGTTCCCATCTTCTAAAAGGATTACTTTTCAAAAAATCCAGCACTGTACTGGATCAATAGTTCTAACCCTCTCACATTGAATGTTCCCATCTCTCCAAAAGGATTACTTTTCAAAAAATCCAGCACTGTACTGGATCAATAGTTCTAAATGCTGCGACATCCACTTATTTTTTTAAGAAGTCTTTATATTGCTAGCCAGTGTATCTACTCTGGGCACAAGAAAACCCTTGGGAAATCTCCCACAGCTCTAAGAGATTAAAGATGTTCAGTCTGGCCAATGAGTTACCAGCACAGAAAACTCACCAATTTACAGCCTTGGTTCATTTTCTCATGCTGTCCCCATAATTCTTTCTCTGCAAATTCTGCTGTTGTCACCTATGAGGGACAGATATTACTGGAGCAGACCTTGTGATGTGAACCCAGACAACGCCTTTTGCATCCATGCTGACAGCTTTTTACACAGGGAAACAAAAGTAAACTTTAAATCAATTAGACACCTTTCTCCCCGTACACTCAGAATCATTGTTTTAAATTCAAGCTCGAGATTGCTGCTGGGATCAGGGTAAACAACAATACCACATTCAGCACCTGCATGTAAAGTGTTTCACCCTGACCTCCAGCAGCACCCCAGGACAGCACCAGCTCTGCCTCTCTGCTGTCTGCCCCTCACAGGGAGCAGGGACCAGTCAGTCAAATTCCCTCTGAAGAGAGGGCAAGTACCTTTAAATAAATAAATAAATATATATATATATATAATGTTTTACTGTCTACTATGTGAAAATGGTGTTTGCATTGCAGTGGCATGAGCTAAAATACAAAGAGAGCCAAACTACGGTGATACATCAGTCATAAAACATTTTGCTAATGTTTCACTCCCGTCTCCACTTAACTGCTGCAAACCAGCAGCTGAAGCAGCAATGCAGCATGCCCAGAGGCACCATCCCACACCTTGCAGTGGCTTTTCCAGGCTCTGTGCCTGGCCCCTGGGGGACAGCAAGAGCTAGAGTGGTAGGAGCACCTTGCTGAAGTTACTGAGGCTGGCCAGGTACCTGTTCACAGGTGCCTCTTGGTGGGATGAGCCAGACAGAGTAGGTGTGGTGTGAAGAGAATGGGAGAGGTCTGTGTTTCTATTGAGAAAGGAGGGAGGAGATGGAGGAATATGAGATGGTGAACCCTGTGCACCACGGGGAATTCAGAACTGACAGCTCATTTGCATGGGAAGTGAGAACAAACACCACTCCCTTCTACTCTGGAGGAAGCACTGGAGAGAAATCACGGCCTGAAAACAGCTGGCAGAGCAGCTCCCAGGGCTCTCCACCCATGGAGCAGCTGGCATTGCAGCTCCTGGGAAGCTCCACTGCTGCCTTCCAGCACCAGCTGCAGGGAGGGCAGCTCTGGCCAGGCTCCAGGGATTGGGCTGCAGGGGTGTTGTACCTGGCTGGAAACACACACACAGCTACAGCACGCACGGTTCTGCGGGCAGCTTGTCGTTCCATACACCTCTGGCTGACAAGTGTCCAGAATTTCAGATGTTCAGAACTGCGCAGAAATTGCAAAATGCGTTTCCTTTGAAAGAAGCAGGTGAAAAGCCCAGCCCTGCACACCCCACACTGTGCGGTCCCCCTTTTCTCTATGCTCTCCTGGCTGTGTGCTGGGTGACACCGTGCTCCAAGAGTCAAGTCCTGCTCCATCCTGGGGCTCTTTCTCTATGCCAGCTGCACACACACTCTCCTCTTTGCTTTCCTCTGCTGCAGGATGTACAGCCCTGAAGGAACAAACCCCTAAACACAAGCTGAGCCCTTGTGAAGTCAAAAAGGTTCTGCCTTGGCTTCAGTGCAAATGAGTTGCTTGCAAGGTCAGAGGTGCATTGAGATCCAAGGACAAC